TTTGTAAAACTGATGGTCCACGAGGTCATATCTTAACAAAATGTCTCTAATCTAGTAAGAATAATAACATGTTTTTACATTCTAATTTCATGCAATCGTTTATAAATTTAGACTATTCGAAAAGAATGGGTGCTATACAAAAATGTTCATCTTTCTTGTAGTCTTCTTGATTTGTTATTGTTCATCCATTTTGTATTCTATATTTGTTCACTTTTTAAAATTTTTTTTTTATTATTTTCATTTACATTACCTTGACTTTCATTTAAAATAAAACGCACGAATCGATTGAATGAGCATAAATAAAATGTTCTCTGATGTATCAAAAAAATTAAAAGCCTCATCTAATCATATAAAGTGTAGAAACAAGAATCAAATACTCAATGACATGTGAAAAATCTAACTACAATGTGTTCATTCTTTTCAAGTAGGACATGCCTTAAGCTATGCCTGCTACCTGCTGCAAAACATCGGATCATTTTCCATTATTCCATTCTAGTCAATTCTGTTGCCAAGGGAAAATCCTTCTCAAAGATGAGTGGTAATAGAAAAAAGTAAATCAAATAGAAACAGATCAATCTATATCTCTCAGATACAAATCAATCTGCTAGTCTCAACTCTTGCTTTTCAGCAACCAATGAAGTCGTATTGAATTTGACAAATTGAATATTCGTGCTTTATGAAATAATAAAAAGAGAATGCAGAGTTTATTTTCGCCGACGCGTTTCATGTTTATTTTATTGAAATAATAAAACATTCATCAGGGCTCTGCATTACAAAAACACAAATTTTAAAACTAGTCATACATAGTTAGATGCTGATTATAACTTTAATCACGTTTAAGACACAAATATAACAGTAATTATAATGAAAGCTACGCAGTGACATAAAAAAACAAAATTAGCAACTAATAGAAAATTCAAATACATCAAAAGTTAATAAAAATACAAACTACATAACTAAGTTCGTTATTGCTGTTGTCGATATATTAGTACGTATACATGATGGTGAACTTTTAAGTGGATAATATCACTTATTTGTCTCTGAAGATATCGACACGTTTCATATTATTTATTAGAATATTTGTTTCTGAAGATATCATTAAGTATGATATTATCAACTATACTAATATCGCTTATTTGTCTATGAAGATATCATTCAAATTCCGAAGGCGCAGATCACAAATATATTATTGTTGTTGTTGATATATTGGTACGTGTACGTGATGGTGATGTTTTAATCTTTTAATTGTCTCTAAGGATATAAATAATATCACTTATTTGTCTTTAAAGATGTAAATAATATGGATAACATCCTATTTCAATCAAGACAAAATCATGTTTCAATATCCCAAATCACAAATATGAAATCGAAATATATAAATGAAACATGTATGCCAAGCAAGTTAAAAGACCATTAATAAATTTTTAGTATATTGAATAACTCGACGTTTAGTTGACGGGTGATTCCCAGTATATTGAATAACTTGACGTTTAGTTAACGGGCGATTTCCAACATAGAATATTTAGTAATAATTCTTTTTAATATTAATTTTTTAATATTAATATTTCACTTACAAAGTCCTTAGAAAAAGTTTTTTTTTATGACAAGATTTGTTGCTCTTTAGTCTATCCAGCCAAAAAAGAAAATCTGCGTATGCTTTTAAATCGACATTGGCAGATTCAATCTAATCTGTGCAACATAAAATAGTTAAAGTGTATGTTAAGGTAGTTTTTCAAGATTTCATCGGTAAATCAAAAATGAATCCTTGGTCAATTTGTATTCCCAGGTCCACCAATCCGATAGCGGATCCGATCGGATCTCATAGGATCCGACCAGCCGACAAAATCCGACAGGATTCCGTGTAACGGAATCGCTAACGGATCCGACGGTCGGATCCTAATGGAATTCCGATCATATCCGACTGTGGGAACTGATAGGTATTCCGGCAGCCGGATTATGTCGGAAATCGTGTAATGTGGAAAATTACACTTCCGTCAGATTTTGTCGGAAAATGTCGGACTCACTTCTGATTGGCTGGGCAATAGCCAATCAGAATTCAGATACAATTTTATCTTATTTTGATAGAGATTAATCACAGTCATCGCTAGGGGTGGCACTTTAACTTTACTTTAAAAGTTAAAGTTAAAGTGGCACTTTAAACTTTAAACTTTAAAGTTAAAGTAAAACACTTTAAACTTTAATTAAAGTGCCACCCCTAATCTAGTAGCGTAACCAGATGGGGGCGAGAGGGGGCTCAGCCCCCCCTACGAAGGCCTGAGTCCCCCCTACAAAAATTTTTTGCTCCCTATACATAAAAATATTTATCTTTGACTTTGGTATCTCTAGTAGCGCTTATTCGAAGAATGGCCACAGATTTCGACTCCTCTATCTAAATTCTCGTTATCTATGCCATATATACATCTAATTAGTAATTGAAATGAATCGTTTGGTACAGGAAGATGAAAGCTTTGACTTGAAATAAGTTTTACTTAGTGTTCTTAATTTAAAAAAATCAAATATCTCCCATGTAAACATGATCGTTAAATTGACGGTTTAACGAAAATTAACGTTACCTTTTGTCCGTAAAAACGCGTTAAAAATCGGCGTTTTAACGAACTTTCATGCGTTATGCGACGTTAACATCTGAAAAACGGAGAAAAACGCATGAAAGTTCGTTAAAACGCCGATTTTTAACGCGTTTTTACGGACAAAAAGGTAACGTTAATTTTCGTTAAATCGTCAATTTAACGATCATTTTTACATGGACTTGGTTCACCGAAAACTCAGCATGTTCTTTCTATCGAAAAATGTGCAAGATTCACATTTGGTTTTCTAGTTTTCTTCAAGGATTTTTTCATCGAAAAATATGTATGAATATGTTTGGACATGCATATTCTTTTTGATTTTGTTGAATTCTATGTGATCATCTAAATGTATCTATTAAAGCACCTTAAAACAACAGTCTGATCACCTTTGGATCCTTTGCATATGACAAAAATATTTTTATTTCCTAAAAATATAAGATGAAAATGCTTTCTCACAATTAATAAAATGGCAACGGTTTTTCATGACATCTTATGAATTTGAATTAATTTTCGTGTGATAGCCTTGACATATCCCATAAGACTGTATATTTCGGTAAACTTAGAATATATGTAATGTAGTATACAGAATGTCACAAAAAAGAGAGTCAAACCTTTGAATCCCTTTCTAGTTCATTCACAGCGCAACAAATGAGGAATCTGGAAGATATTTTTTGAGAAACATTTTTATAGCTCAATTTTCTTGCTTTATTATTCAAGAAAAATTTGTTTCGCCAATCAGTTACTTCAAGATACTTTTTTTCTAATCAATAACCCTTTTTTTTACTTCGACTCAAATCTAGAATAAAGTTTCATTTTTTCATTTGCTTCCAGCAGCAAAGCGTTCTCTCACCGTTCGTAGTGGTCTTCTTTTTTTTGAAATAACTATTCAGAGTCTAGCCGCCTTCGGCGGCTGTGGGTATAATACAACTAACTTCGTGTTGCGCTTGTCACCCGAAAAACGTAAGCTCCTCTGATATGAATTTATATAGTTTTTTGAAAAAAATGTTTTCTTTTTTTTACGAAAAATTGCGTCTTTGAGAGTGTTTCCTGGTGAAACAAACATTAAATATTTTTACCCGATTATTGTATCATCAACACTAAAAACCAACGCGAAAAATAATTTATACTGCACTGTTATTATAAGAAACTCATTCCGAAAATGGCAAACAGAGTTAATTTTTCATGAAAGAGCGAAACAGTTCCACCACTATCTATCTCAGAGATTATGTGCGCTATTAGGAGGAGGGGGCAGAGCCCCCTCTACGCCTTTTTTCTGGTTACGCCCCTACCCTAATCCTTGGGCTGTAAATCTTATATATTTTATATCTAAATGTTTAAATACAAAGATGTGCATCCGTCGGATTTCATCGGAAATTGTAGGATTTCATTTTTCTCTCAAACAAGAAGGAATAGCCATCCTTGGGCTGTAAATTTTATATTTTTTATATCTACATGGTTGAATACAAAGATATGCATCCGTCGGATTTCGTCGAAAATTGTAGGAGTTTAGCTTTTTTTTCTGTTTGAAAGAACAATGTTCTACTTCCGTCGGATTCGCTTTGGAAATTGTAGGATCTTATCGGTTTCCGACTGTAGGATCCTATCGGTTCGGTCCGATCGGATTTTGTCGGACGCCGATAGTGGGATCCGAGCGGTTCCGTCCCGTAGGATTTTATCGGCCGCCGATAGTGGGATCCGAGCGGTTCCGTCCCGTAGGATTTTATCGGCCGCCGATAGTGGGATCCTATCGGATCTGGAATCCGGCAGGATTCGTATGCGTTTCCGTTTCACGGAATCCGTTGAGATTCCGATAGGATCCTCTGGGATCTTATAAATTCCTATGGGATCTGATCGGATCCGATCGGATCTTACAGGATCGTATAGGATCCGATTGTCGGATTGGTGGACCTGGGTTGAGAGGAAGAGGAAAGTCTTAACTACAAAATAATCGTAAAAAATTATTTTTATCTAAACAAAACTGGAGGACAGGAAATTAATTTTTGTCGACAGATGGCGCAAAAAACACTCATTGTAAGCATTCTTGCTTGAAAACTCCATAGCCACTATAGCAAAAAGCTTGATATTTTATGGTAAGCAAGATAGATCATAAGGGGTATTTGAAAAAAAAATTATCAAAATTCGTTGAGTGAAACTAGAGATATAAGCGTTTTGGTGTTACAAAAACAACCGTACAATACGGGCGCAATTCAACCATATATATCACAAAGAAAACGAAAAAAAAGAAAGGGTATAGAGATACCATGAGTATTTATAAAACAAAACGTGCTTTGCTTTTTTCTACACAGCGTTCTCGTTTCGAACTTGTTATTATGCTAGCAGTAACAAAAGGTTAGAAAGAAAATAAAAAGAGCGTTTAGTTGTGTTTTTTTTTCTTCATTTATCTCTAGTGTCATAATGTGTATCGTTATTGGTTTTATAATCATTCTTTATATCTTCTATCGCTTATATCAACATTTTTTTCCATCACCAAACATTAATCCTAATGGTAAATATGTTCTTATAAGTGGTTGTGATACTGGATTTGGTCATGGATTAGCTATTGAACTTGATAAACAAGGTTTTAATGTTCTTGCTGGTGTCTTCGTTCCTGACAATGTAACTTCCCTTAAAGAAAAACTTTCATCAAGAGCTACAGTTTTTTGTCTTGACATTACTAAAGAGGAAGATATTGATGCTGCATTTGTATTAGTCAACGAGAAAACAAAAGTTCTTCATGCACTTGTTAACAATGCTGGGATTGCGGCTATCGGTTATATTGATTGGACATCAATGGAAATTATGCGTAAGGTAATGAATGTTAATTACTTTGGACATGTTGCAATGACAAAGAAATTCTTACCTTTACTTATTGCTAAACGTGATTCACGTGTTGTTAATATTTGTTCTATATTGGGTTTTTTCTCATTATCAAGTTTGTCCGCTTATTGTACATCAAAATATGCACTTGAATCATTTTCGGATTGTTTACGTCGAGAAATGGTTCCATGGGGTTTACGTGTTAGTATTATTGAACCAGGATTTATGCGAACGCCTATTCTCGAAAGCGGTCCTAAATCATTTGCAGATCTTTGGAGTTCGATTTCCAGTGATGCTCAAGAACGATGGGGAGAAGATTTTCTTAAAGCCGGATTTGTTGCCGTAAAAAACAACCCATTGTTCAAATATGCCGAAGATCCGATGAAAGTTGTGCGAGTTCTTCAACATGCTGTTATGAATACAGTTCCTCATATTCGCTATCGACCTGGTTGGCAATCAAGTCTTATTCTCTTTCCAATTTCTAGATTACCTGCTTGGATTGTTGATTGGGTTTTGACTAAATTAGATAAATCAATTCCTGTTCCTGCAGGTGTTTCTCAACAACTTAAAGACTAAACTAATTTACTCAGTGAAATGAAGAAATTTTTCTAAATATAAGGGAAACAAGAAAATTTTTTTGTTGGTCGTTAGAAAAAGATATTTCAAAAATAAAGATTTTAGATTTATTCGATCAATTAGATTTTATGTGAATTATGCATGTGAATTGCGTATGGAAAATTCTATTAATAGTTCAATCATATCCGACTAGTTTGAGTTTTGAGAGATCGAAGATAGAGAACTGACTAATAAACTTTATATGCTCGTTGAATTTCTTCTATCCATATGACGTATTTTCACATTGAAAAAGAAACTTCTATTTATATAGAAAATATCTTATAGAGTTTTGTGAATATGAGAATACCAGATGGGAGAGATTAAATGGCCGTGGTTTGTGTTATAATTTTTAATCCCTTAATACATTGTATGAATAAATAAAACAAACCACAAGATGCAACGTGAAATGCTCTACAATTTACATAAGACTGCTTATATTGTAGTTGCATTTTTTGCTTTCAAAATGAATAAAATTTTTGTTCGATCAGATTTCGACGGTGCAGAAAAGACAAGTTTTTTTTGATACATGATGAGTTGATTTTTTGTTATTTTATCTTTTCATCATCTCATCTATGGTTTATCAAAATTTTTATTTTCAAAAACAAAGCAAAATTCTGTCTGTCCAGTTTTCGCCGCTGCGAAGAAATCATTTTTTTCTACACGGACGAGAATTTCTTTTTTCTCATCTAATATGTTTTCCTTAAAAAACAATTGTACCAAAAGATGTAGCGTGACAAGTTCTACAATTTAGATAATAAATGTTATTGTAATCGTGTTCAATAAAAGCAAAAAGTATACAATTGAAATAAATTTTACTTCGTGGATTGTAGAGCTTTTCACACTACATCTGTTCATATCTTTTGTTTTTTAATAAAACATATTAGATGATGAAAAAATAAGATATAAAGCGCGGCCATTTAATCTGTCCCATCCATTAGTTTCGCTTTTGTTTGTTTGTTAGCTATATCTATAATACATGGCACAATTTCACATATGATCCAAATTGTGAAAATAATCACTGCAGACAGTTGATTATATCAAAAAAAAGAATGAAATAAATTTAGATGATTACTCGCACAAGAATAGTGCCTTTCGTGTATACATCAAGTATAAATATTCAAATAATGCATTTAAGTTTCATAGGTTGAATAAATCTTTGTCAAAATGAAAACCAGCATGAACATTCTGAAGTATTCTAATGTACACAACATTTGATATTTTATGTCGTAGGCAATAACTATTCAAATACATTTTTTCATGATTTATTGTTCACAAAGGAGTTATATGACAGATATACAGTAGCACTTTCTAAATGGAACGCAAGAGAATTTTTTAACATTGCTTTCAGTGATCATCACATTCAATTACTTATTCAGTGAAATGACTTGCGGTGGTCTAGATCAAACATGAAACATATTTAAGTAAGTAATGCACTGTAATGTAGTCTTTTGTATTTGAAATCAGATCTTGTTTAAGAGTATTCAAAATGCGTTTCATGGTTACGGTGTATATGATACACTGAATATTACTCTTTGCATTCGTTATTAATTTCATTGACATATAAATCTTGCTTTGTATACACTTTTTACAACTTTCTGTTCACTAATCGACATTATCTTAACTAAATAAAACGGCACAGATATTCTTCATTTTAGTTGTCGACAACAATGGGGCTGTTATAAAATCTAATCAAGTAGACTAACCAGTTTGAGTGCACATCATTGTTTTAATAGCATATTAGTAAGATGTTGCATTTTTCATTGAAAAGAATTGGCTGTCTTTATTCTTGATCAAATAAAATCGAACACATAAGATGTATTCATCTAAATTTGACACTTTTCTAAATCGTTCAAGGTGATTCCCACCATTTCTTTTCATTTTTACTTATTTCTTTATCTATTCGAACTTTGTAAAGAAAAATAAAAGATCGAAATTCATATTGAGACGTAATGTTTTTTCTGTGACCCACACATATATCAAAATGAAAAGGAAAAAAAGAAAGGATAAAGAGATACCATGAGTATCTATAGAACAAAATGTTCTCTGCTTTTTTCCACACAGCTCTCTTGTTTTGAGATTCTTAATATGGTAGCAGTAAGATAAGGTTAGAAAGATAACAAAAAGAACGTTAGTTGTGTTTTTTTTTCTTCATTTATCTTTACAGTGTCATAATGTGCATGGTTATTGGTTTTATAATCATTCTTTATGTCTTCTATCGCTTATATCAACATTTTTATCCAACACCAAACATTAATCCTAATGGTAAATATGTTCTTATAAGTGGTTGTGATAGTGGATTTGGTCATGGATTAGCTATTGAACTTGATAAACAAGGTTTTAATGTTCTTGCTGGTGTCTTTGTACGTGACAATGTAACTTCCGTTAAAGAAAAACTTTCATCAAAAGCTACAGTTTTTCATCTTGATATTACTAAAGAAGAAGATATTGATGCTGCATTTGAATTAGTCAACGAGAAAACAAAAGTTCTTCATGCACTTGTTAACAATGCTGGTATTGGCATGGGTGGTCATATTGATTGGATATCAATGGCAGTTATGCGTAAAGTGATGGATGTTAATTACTTTGGACATGTTGCAATGACAAAGAAATTCTTACCCTTACTTATTGCTAAACGTGATTCACGTGTTGTTAATATTTGTTCTGTAGCTGGTTTTCTCGCACTAGCAAGTATGTCTGCTTATTGTGCATCAAAATATGCACTTGAATCATTTTCGGATTGTTTACGTCGAGAAATGGTTCCATGGGGTTTACGTGTTAGTATTATTGAACCAGGATTTATGCGAACGCCTATTATCAAAGGAAGTGGTAAATCATTTGCAGAGTTTTGGAGTCAATTGCCGAATGATATTCAAGAACGATGGGGGGAAGATTCTCTTAAAATCGTATTTAATATCTTAAAACAAAACCCATTCGTGAAATATGCCGAAGATCCAATGAAAGTTGTGCGAGTTCTTCAACATGCTGTTATGAATACAGTTCCTCATATTCGTTATCGACCTGGTTGGCAATCAAGTCTTGTTTTCTTTCCAATTTCTAGATTACCTGCTTGGATCGTTGATTGGATCTTAAATAAATTAGAGAAATCATCTTATGTTCCTGCAGGCGTTAACAAACAACACAAAGATTAAAACTAGTTAATTTAAAAAACTTGACAGACTTTTTTTTAATTGTAAACAGAAAGAATACACGCTTTTTTGACTTAATAAAATGATACTTAGAAAAAAACCCTATAGATTTATTCAGACAACGAATTTTAGTGCGAAGTAATATATACTGAACATCAGTAGTAAGTTAAGGTGAGTGAATAGCTCGTCGCATGGGCGATCCGTCGTGGATGTGCGGATGTCAGCATGAATGAGGATCTTTTATGTAACCTCATCCATACTCACATTGGAGACCATCATCATGGTAGTGTTCCCTGATGTTCTACTAACATTTTTTTGAATAAAATGTCATTTGAAATTGTTTACTAAATGCAAACATCAATCTTTCAGAACATGTATCATCTATGTCTGATTTCGAGGAGACTCAACACCTTTTATCAAATTATAAGCAAAAAGTTAAATCTCGTTCTGCTGCTAAATGGTGATGAAAGGCATCGAATTAATTAAATGATGATACTCAGTCATAAAAAAATCACTGTTTTCATTGATGGATATGTTGTTTTTGTCTGAATAGTAGTGTTATGAAGAGTGCTATTTTTCGCGATCCAAGTATATGAATAGATTATCAAAAAAGACACACAAAAATTAACAGTTTTCGGTTGTTTTTTCAAAAAAAATAGGTGTTAAAATGTTTGAAATATATAAGTTTGTTTGATGAACATCTTGAAGATAATACTTACATATCGTTTGTATTATTTACTTTTCTTTTTGTTAGCAATGTATTTGTGCTTGATCTTCTTCTATCAAGATGAAAAAGAAAGGTTTTCGATTGAAAAAAAAAACCAAATAAAACTTATTTTTGTTGCACCTAGTAACAATGAATGATTTGTGAATTTCTTTTTCATAGTATTCCAAACTACAGAAATATTTGAAAAAAATTTAGAATTATAACGTATTTTAGAAATAATAAATGTGAAGATTCTGATGAATTATCAGTCTTAATGAATAATAAAAAATATCGAAATTTTCTATAGAGAATCAGAGTGAAACAATTGAAATGCGATAACACTATCCTGAAGACAAGAAATTTTGTGTTTGAAGGAAAAACATAAACCACCTATCCTGCTGAAATAAAACTTCAAAACAAAATCTCTTATATAAAATTTGATAAAGTACAATATAGCTAAATTGAAATAAAAACTACAGCGAATCAGACAACAATTTTTCAAAAAATCGCTGGAGCTCATTAGAAAACTTTTCAAGTATTTTGATTCTCAGATAGACTCATATCTCCACTCATGTTCTTTCTAACGGCGAAAATTCGAGCTTCATAGCTATCAGCATTGCTGAGTTATTCAGCAAATAACTGAGTTCATTCTTTTTTGAAATGAATAGTACATTGTGTTTTACATATTTAATCCTGCATGGATTCTGTTATCAACTTTTTTTCTTAACTTCAAACTACGATTTAATCGTTAGCAATAAAAATAAAAATTAGAATGAATCCAACTTTATATATTTATTAAGTTCCATAAAAAAAAGACAAAATAAAAAACAAAACAAAACGTTGTTGAAATTCAAATGTAGCAATATTATACTCTACGTTGAAATTTTAGTTCATTAGTTGATTATGCACACCAGCAGGTATCGAATTGACTTCTATATTCAATAGTTTATCCATTAAATAGGTAGGACAAATACGAACAAAGCGAAGAAACAGTTTTGATTGCAAACCTGGTTGATAACGAATACGCGGTTTAGTATTCATAATAGCATGTTTTATTGCTCGTATAACTTTATTTGAATCATCAACATAAAACACTAACGGAGGATTGATCATTCGTCTAATTGTATTCTGTAAAAAATTAATTCCCCATCGATCTTGAACATCAATTGAAAGTTCATCTAATAAATTTTTAATATAATCCTCTGGATTCTCGAGCAAACATGTTCTCATAGTCACTCGTTCTATTAAACTAACACGTAAATCCCATTGAGTCATTTCTCGACGTAAACAATCCGAAAATGATTCAAGTGCATATTTTGATGCTGAATAAGCAGCTGTACCTTTTAAACTTACAATACCAGATATAGAAGATAAATTTACAATACGTGAATCACGTTTTGCAATAAGTAAAGGTAAGAATTTCTTTGTCATTGCAACATGTCCAAAAAAATTCATATCCATTACTTTTCGCATCACTTCCAATGAAGTCCAATCAATATAACTACCAGAAATTATTTCAGCATAATTAATAAGTGCATGAAGAACTTCTGTTTTGTTTGTAACTAATTTAAATGCAGCATCAATATCTTCTTGTTTAGTAATATCAAGATGAAAAACTGTAGCTTTTGGTGATAGTTTATTTTTGAGTAAAGCAATATCATCTGGAATAAAGACACCTGCAAGGACATTAAAACCTTGTTTATCAAGTTCAATAGCTAATAAATGACTCAATTCTGTATTACAGCCATTGATTAATATGTATAGACCATTTGGATCAATATTAGATGATGGAAATAAGCGTTGATATAATCGATAACATCCGTAGTATATGAACACAATAACAATAAGAAGAATCATAGTATATTCGTTGTAAAAGTGCAAGTAGAAACAAGAAGAAATACTTTAATCACGTTTTAAGGTATAGAAATAAATAGAAAGAAAATACGTATATGTATGACGACATACACCTAATTAACTTTTTATATTTCATTGGACATATGTTTTTTTTTTTATTTCTATGTGTGTGTATTCGTCCTTGACTGATTTTTCTCTTATGTAAAAGAAAAGAAAAGTGATGTCACTTGTAAGAAAAAATCCAATCTATTTTGATTACAAACTTATCGACTGAGTGTGATTTGGTAAAAGACTTTTATTGAAAATAAGAAATCATTAAATAGGATTGTATTTAAATACTAACGTTTTTTTTTTTTACAATTTATTATCGATCATTGTCATAGCAGAGAAAGAATATTTTCGTTCTAAAAGTAATCTTTACTTTTGATTTAATGAATTCGTTTTGTTTATGATGTTGATCGAGAACTTTTCAAAGAATCAATTTTTATTCGACTAATCTTGGTTCTGTTTGTTAACACCAGCAGGAAGAATAGATGTACTAACTAATTTCAACATAAGAAAATCAACTAACCAAGCAGGCAGCATAGAAATTGGATAAAAGAAAAGTTTAGCTTGCCAATCTGGATGATATCGAATATGAGGTTTAGTATTCATAACAGCATGTTGAAGTGCTCGTACTACTTTAATCGGATTTTCAGCATTATTAATAAACGGACTTTTTATTATTGATTTTTCAACTAAATCATTGAAAAAATCATCACCCCATCTATTACGAACATTTGCTGATAATCCATTCCATAAATCTCGTACAGCACGTTCTTGTCCTTCAATAATTGGTGTTCGTAACCAACCTGGTTCAATGATAGAAACTCGTAAATTCCATGGAGACATTTCACGACGAAGACAATCAGAAAACGATTCCATAGCATATTTTGAAGCACAATATGCTGACATGCCTGGTGGACTTATTAAACCCATTACTGACGAAATATTGACTATACGAGAATCACCTTTAACTATTAACAATGGTAAAAATTTTTTTGTCATTGCAACATGTCCAAAAAAATTTACATTCATTATTTTATGCATAAATTCTAATTTTGTCCAATCGATATAACCACCTATGCCGATACCAGCATTATTCACAAGTGCATGAAGAACTTTTGTTTTCTCGTTGACTAATTCAAATGCAACATCAATATCTTCTTGTTTAGTAATATCAAGACGAAAGACAGTAGCTCTTGATGAAAGTTTTTCTTTAAGAGAAATTACATTATCAGATACGAAGACACCAGCAAGAACATTAAAACCTTGTTTATCAAGTTCAATAGCTAATCCATGACCAAATCCACTATCACAACCACTTATAAGAACATATTTACCATTAGGATTGATATTTGGTGTTGGAAAAAAATGTTGATATAAACGATAGAATATGTATAGTATAATGATAAAACTACTAATGAAACACATTATAATTTATTCTATAGAAATATTCAAAAGAAAATCTTTGACTATGTGTGTTGTTTTTTTTCATCAAAGACATGCATATTTAAGATTAGAAAGCAAAAGAAAAACACGTCATACTCTATGAAAGTAGATATACAGGTGACAACAATATTTTATTCGTCGGGATCACATTTTCAAAGCAAAAAGAAAAAGATCGAGTCAGTTTTGTTTTAAGAATTCTAAAGAACAAAACTTTTTAAAAGATAGTTTAGTTATAATAGAAACATATAGAATTACAAATAAAGTTTGATTGATAATAATAAATTAGCTTGAATGTAAAATGAGTTAATTTAAATACTAAGTGTGATGTATTCTATTCTTGTTTTAGAAAAGTGACTTAGTTTGATTTCATATTTGGTTAGGAATAATAATAATAAAAATTCATTTTGTACAGAGAAAACAATATTAACTAACTATGTAGCGCACTTTTGATATTGAAAATCATCAAACTAGTCACTAATGAATTCACAATTTTTGCATTAATAATCATCTTTGCATATTTTCTTTTATGAGATTTTTCGATCGTTGAAAATTGATTCTCTTATGTAAATTTATTTATATAATCGTATAGATCAACATACATATTGAAGCTTGTACTAAAGTTACTCAATAAGAATATAGTTTTCATTTGAATCAATAATCAATGAAGCAAAAAAAAAGTGTCAACTAAGCTTTATGTTTACTACAACATATTATCCTCAAGTGTAGAGTTTTTTTTTTTTTTTTTCATTCTTGATTGGATAACTGATGTTTGACTCCATCAGGACGAACATTAAATCCAAGAGAAAGTATTTTATCAACTAACCAAGTAGGAAGAATAGATAATGGATAAAAGAAAAGACTTGATTGCCAACCTGGTCGATATCGAATTCGAGGAGCATTACTTATAATAGCATGTTCGAGTACTCGAATAACTTTTTCTGGATTTTCAGAATATCTAATAAATGGACTATTTATCACTAATTTAAATAAATATTCGAAGAATTGTTCACCCCATCGTTTTTTAACATCGATTGGCAATTGAAGCCAAATATTTTTCAAAGATTGTTCCAAACCTTCAGTCATTGTTGTTCGCATTGTACCTGGTTCAATAATAGAAACACGTAAATTCCATGGAGCCATTTCACGACGAAGACAATCAGAAAATGATTCCAATGCATATTTTGATGCACTATAAGCACCTGAACCAGGAAGACTAATAAAACCACACATAGAACTCATGTTTACTACACGTGAATCATGTTTAGCAATAAGTAAAGGTAAAAATTTCTTTGTCATTGCAACATGTCCAAAAAAGTTAACATTCATCATTTGTCGTGCTGAATCTACTTGAATCCAATCAATATATCCACCAATTGAAATACCAGCATTATTCACAAGTGCATGAAGAATTTTTGTTTTCTCGTTGACTAATTCAAATGCAGCATCAATATCTTCTTGTTTAGTAATATCAAGACGAAAAACTGTAGCTTTTGATGAAAGTTTGTCTTTAAGAGAAATTACATTGTCAGGAACGAAGACACCAGCAAGAACACTAAAACCTTGTTTATCAAGTTTGATAGCTAATGTATGACCAAATCCAGTATCACAACCACTTATAAGAACATACTTTCCTTGAGTATGAATATTAGCAGGCGAAAAAAAGATTCGATATAATATATAGAATATCAATATTAAACTAATAATCGTAAGCATGATCTATTATTTTCCCACAATTAACTTCAGTGATGATAAATTGTTGAAAACAAAAAAAAAATGATACTATGTACATGACGCACAAACAGGTCATAATCATGCGTGCTTTTTTTTTGTTATCTTTTTCTTTCTCTATATTTGTCTTTCGTTTTCAACCTGATGGAGAAAAGAACCAGAATAAAATAGGAGGTAAAAAATGAATTTATTTATTTTCGTTTAGAAAAATTTATTTTTATTACTGATAGAGTCATATAATTTTATTCTATATGTATTTTTCGTACACTAGCAGGATTAATATTAGAATAACTTGCACGATTTAAAATAAAATCTGCTAACCAAGCAGGAGCCATTGATAATGGTAAAAAGAAATATTTTGATTGCCAACCAGGTCGATATCTTATTTTAGGTTTAGAATTGATTATTGCATGTTGAAGTACTCGTATAACTTTATTTGGATCTTCAGCATGACGATAGAGAAAATTATCAGATAATTTTTTTATTTGAATTTTACGAAAATTTTCACCCCATCGTTGTTGAACATCTGTTGATAATTCATTCCAAAATTTATTCATAAATTGATCATGTCCTTCAATAATAGGTGTTCGCATTGCTCCAGGTTCAACAATACTAACAAATAAATTCCATGGAGCCATTTCACGACGAAGACAATCAGAAAATGATTCCAATGCATATTTTGATGCTGAATAAGCAGATTTCATTGGTACACCAATAATACCAAATACGGAACAAATATTAACAACACGTGAATAACGTTTTGCTATGAGTAAAGGTAAAAATTTCTTTGTCATTGCAACATGTCCAAAAAAGTTCACATCCATTATTTTACGCATAGACTCTATGGTTACCCAATCAATAAAACCACTGGTACTAATTCCAGCATTATTAACAAGCGCATGAAGTGTATTAGTTTTTCCTTGTACTAATTCAAATGTAGCATCAATATCTTCTTGTTTAGTAATATCAAGACGAAAGACAGTAGCTCTTGATGAAAGTTTTTCTTTAAGAGAAATTACATTATCAGGAATGAAGATACCAGCAAGAACATTAAAACCTTGTTTATCAAGTTCAATAGCTAATCCATGACCAAAGCCTGAATCACAACCACTGATAAGAACATATTTTCCTGTTGGATCAATATTTGGTAATGGAAAAATATATCGATATATTCGATATAAGAAATCAAGCAGAAGTGCTAAAATTATTAGCAATACCATTCCTGAATAACTACAAGATGAAACACCAACTTATTTTACAGTTTTAATAATTTGAGTACTCACTCCCTTTATTTTGTTTTTGCTGTTTTTAGTTGTGATGTGAGAGGCATGTTGTTATGTCTTTATCTAGGTGGACGAAGAGCAAAAAAAAATGATCCGTAGAGAGACTCTTCAGTTTCTATAGATGTCATGAATTTCCATGCACAAATGATAGATTTTTCTTATGTTGAATGTAAAACTGAGTTCATTAGAGCAATTCATATTTAAATAAATACATCAAATTAAACAGATTAGACAGAACATATGATAAGACATCATAAGAATACCGTGTTTTGAATCATGATTTCTTGTAAAGATAAATATTTTTTTTTTTCGTTTTGTATTCATTGAAGCTACTGATATAATTCTGAAACAGCAAAGTGAGATTCTGAAAAAAAAAACATCATTATGAAGTTTCTTCTAATAATTTTTCTGCTCGTATTTATTCGTCACGCATCCAGTGAATAAATCAATGAAAGGATCTTCGATAGATCCGAAACACCAATCAATACGTCTCAATTTTCTAAATCCAATTAAACATGATTATGTTGCTGGCACCATCACGAATATATTTTTACTTAATGTTGAAAGTTGTTTTTGAAGATGAGCTGATATTTACTAAAAATTTTACAATCTAAGCTCGTATACATAAAATCTGAAATAAGAGTGAAACAATTAATTTTTTTTTTAGTGTTTCATTAAAGATAAAGTCTCTTCCTATTTATTGAAGATGTTAATTATTAAAAGTTATAATAAAATTTGAAAGCATTTCAGAAATATCTTTCTCCTTCTTCAGTTCATGTAGTATTTCAATAGAGTTATTTTTTTACTATGTATAATACGTCTTTGTGTATTCTTTTTTTTTTTTGTCTAATAGTGAAACGGGAGATAAAAATACATAAGTTTTATTGACTAGTTATTACCGTCTTGTCATTCCACTCCACAATTAGAGAAAAAAAACATTAGGCAGATACCTATTATACATAGTAGAAATATAACCTTATTGTAATAATAAATGAATTGAAGAAGAAGATAAGACATCTTCGAAAAGTTTTCAAATGCTTATTATAAATTTTAAGAGTATAACAAGTTGTTGAATAAGTTATTAGTTACTAAAGAACGGATGAAGCAAATTAGTGTTATTAAGATAATTCTATTTATACAGACGTGGAAACCGAAAACATTAGCAAGTTTTGATTGTGAGTGTCGATCACTTGATGAATGGGAATCAGCAAAGCAGTTAATTTAACCTTTTAAGGACGAATTCCTTTTTCAATCGAAAAATGGCTCTTCAATCAATTTATTGTATTTGACTCAAAATGGTTATATAAATACTTTATGATAATCAAAAATAAATCGATTTTGATCAATTTTTAAACCGAATGCTAATTTTCGAGTAAAACATGCGATGTTTGATCTAACTTGTACTTCTTTAGTGCTATAGTAAGTATATACTCTGGATGCTCCTTTTATAGGTAAATACATCTCATTATCAAAATGAAGCGCAGATTGTGGTAATGCTAGTTTAGACTTCTTCTCAGAAGGAGGTCTGCCAAGATTCATTAGCTGAAGATCAGAGCAGAAAGATTTCACCAAGAAAATCATTCAATTTAAATAAGGTAATTTATCTTGAGTAGATATGTAAACCAATCGGAGAAGCTACTGCCATCATGACATGAAAAATAGATACTAGATTCTTGAAAATTTTTGACGCTAAGAATCAGTTTTATATGTTTTTGCCTATTTTCTTTTTGCCTGTCCGTTCTGTTACATTATTTTTTTCCTCTTTTTTAAAATTGTATTGCAAAATCGGAAACAATTTTACATCGTCAATAAGCAGAGGAACAGTCATATATGCAACAGCAATAGAAAATAGGAATTTTCTCAAATATGTTCCAAAGACAATATATCAGGAGATAAGAGAAAAATCATGATGTCACTATACAGAAGCAGAAAAAAAGAGAACATTTAATTAAGATCTGTACGATGGGAAAATATGTGCATAAAACAATAATGAGGCACCTCATGTCCTTTATAGTCTCCTATGTCTTACAATTTAATGTAAATGAAGCAATTTATTCTCTACTGAAAAAACAGATGCTACGATGCATCTACCACTTCTTACAAACAGTTCAATTACGTGTTCAGAAGAGATCAAAACCATTCAATTTTCTTGTTAGCTATACATTTAAAAACTTTTTGAAAAAAAGTTCTCCTTCAATGAACTGGACACCAATGCTGAAAGTAATCATTTAGTACGTACTCCTATAACAACCAACATCCTGTCTGAAATGTTCGTTATCCACTCCAATACTATCAATCTTTCGAGAAGTCAAAAACAATATAGCTGCCACTTTACCGACATTTACTATCTATGTTGATTAATAAAAAATCTACGATTATGTATGGACACTATCCTCTTAGTTAAACTGTAAAACCTTGACTTCCCAATATATTTATTGATAAACATAGAGTTTCCATAATGCAGTACCCAACAGAGCTGCCTGCCTGATAGGGAAGGCTTGGCTCAAGTTTGTGGCCTGGATGATACTTAGTCGGCTTTTTTGTATATTTATCGATTCTGATTACAGATGATTGAAGAGATTTCAAACATTTTTGGTGAATTTGTTGAAATTAAAGTTTTCCTTAACTTTGATAATCAATGTTAGGGTGACGTGCTTCAACTCTACGAGTACCGCCTTTTTTATGCCTTCATTTCCATCATTTTACACAAGCCTTGTCGTAAAAAGAATTATGAATGCATCACCTTTCTGTCTCTTATGATGAATGACAGTGGTGTATATTATAATGAAATGAACTTTTCTCATGCATTTTACACTAGCGTTACCTGCGAAGGTTCAAATTGGTACTTAACTCTGAGAGTTTAAATAAACTCAAAAGATTACATTTATTCTTAATAATAGATGATTCTCCTTAAGTAATTTGCTTTTGTTTACAGTTTTTTGTGGGTGTATGATTGAGCTAGGTGACTATCAATACAACTCAACTCAATGTCTTTCATTAGACAAAGATAAGTAGCAAATGTTTCTGACAGATATTAATAGTGTTTTCTGTTTTTCATTTTTGTATGTGTTTTTTCTGATGATACCCATTTTGCAATTTCATGCAACAACGCTGATGCACTGAAAACTAATTTGAAAGCATAGTTATTCGTATAGATAAGACTGTATTTTCTGCGTATTTATGTATCTTTCGATTTTCTATCGGGGTTCCGGAATTTCGCCAATAAGACTTTCGCCAATAGGACTTTCGCCATTGCAGAAAGTCCACTGTACTTTCGCCAATACATCCCGTGGAATTTCGCCAATTGGCGAAAGTCCATTGTACTTTCGCCAATACATTCCGTGGAGTTTCGCCAATTGGCGAAAGTTCCCCGTACTTTCGCCAATATACTCCCGGACTGTCGCCAATTGGCGAAAGTACAGTGAGCTTTCAGCAATTCATTGTAAATCAGACGTACACTAAAAAAATTTTTTCTCGCCTACATCGATGTGTGCAAACTATGATATATATATTCCAATAACATTAACTTCAGCGTTGACATATATCCTATATTAACACGTTGACTGTCCGGTGCATCATATGTGATGCACGATACTTTGGACTGAGACGTTCCGTGTATCACATATGATGCATACGCAGCATATGATATTTGAAGCTGGAATTCGTTAGACGCAACTAACCGGCTGGATTTGAACTATTGGGACGTATCGGTACGATGTCAGGAAGTATTCTAGTTCTTGGTTGAATCACATATGATGCACTGAGCATAATAAAGTACTAAAAAACATAGCGCTTTGCTTTTATTTTGAGAAAAAAAGTGAATGCTCAGTTTCAGATGTTTTTATTACAAAAAAGTGTTTCAATATAAAACAAAATAAAAGAAGCATTTGATCTAAGAGAGACAGCTGAATCATATGTGTTGCATAAAAAAACATTGAAGATATGTTTAAAACTTATTTTTGCGGTATATAAACGTAATACACTCCAAAAAATTATATATTTTAAAATTAAAAAGAAAATAAAAAGTGGATGTAGAACAAGTACTATTTTTTTCTCATGAGGACAGTCAACGTGTTAATATTGTTCCGTGACAACTGAGATAGTCCACCTCACTTTGGCCAATTGGCGAAAGTCCACTGTACTTTCGCCAATACATTCCTTGGAACTTCGCCAATTGGCGAAAGTCCACTGTACTTTCGCCAATACATTCCCTGGAACTTAGCCAATTGGCGAAAGTCCACTGTACTTTCGCCAATATACCCTCGGGACTTTCGCCATTGGCGAATGTCTTATTGGCGAAAGTCTTATTGGCGAACATCCCGCTACCCTTTCTATCCAGTGAAAAAGTTGGTATTTTCATCATCAAAATTAAGCAAGTCTAAATCTATGATCGAGACTAGTATGAGTGAATAAGAACAAATTCTGATGCATATTATGCAATCGTACCCATAGTATTGAAAATATTCAATAAGCATATTCTGTTCTATCAAAAAATCCGAAATACCAGGTCGAAAAAAGTGGCCTGTTAACGGTCTTGGTATTCTAAACCCGTACTCGTTCATTGTGCTTTACTATGATCTAATTTAACTATCTAGAGGTTTATTCAAGCCACTTGTTCGTTGATGATCTTAGTGTACTCATTAAACCGTAATCATAAATAACTTGACTCCTACGATTCAGCGTCTAGAGAAAGAAGACATATGAATCTATGTTTAAGTATATGCTCTATTTAAAAAAAAATGAAGTCAACCAACAAACATATCGAACATAGAGCCAAAATTATTTAACCAATAAGTAAAATGGTCAATAATAAATGTAACAATGTACGAAGGAAAACTTCCATCATGCAGAAAAAAGTCTAGGAGTTAAGACTTACATGGCTCAACAGACTATTCTTGAAAAGTATAGTTGAAAAGTGTATAGGAAATATCTAGAGA